AGAAACAGGATTGGTGGTAATAATGAAGTAAGGTTCTTCCAGAAAACTGTGTTCTCCATGACTCTTATGTTCGGGAAATCACATCTCTAAGTACCCACCATGGCATCCCTGCTGTGTGCTGGTCCAGCCTCCACTTTGACATCTCCTGCTCTGACATGCTCTCCATCTGCTGGAGCACATTATTCAGACTGGACACCTGGTAGGAAGTTCTTTCTGGTACCTAACACCTTTTTGCTTCCTCCCTTTGATGCTGGTCCTGCCACTTAGGTTTCTGGTCCGGCAGCCATTCACACGATTGAAGATCGCGCACTGGTCCAGTGGGTCTGGCTCTTCACTCCCCAAGTGAGCCAGCAACGGGCACATCTGCACAAAGTGGAGCAGGACCATCACCCCCACAGTGGGATGCTAGAGTTCTACTGACCAGATGTACCTCACACCTTCCCTTCCCTCACCTGCTACATCCAGTCCCAGGTCAAGTCCTCTGGATTTCCCCCCCACCCCATATCACTCTACTCTACCTTCCTCTTTTCCTCTCCACTGCCACCTCCCTTGTCTAAGCTGCCATCAACCGCTGCCAGGACCACTGCAATAGCCTCTTTACTGCCCCCACCCTGCCCCAAATCCACTCACATTGCAATCACAGTAATCCTGTTACAATGCATATCTGCTCATGTCACCCATGGCTCAAAATGTTTCCCCTTCAGGCACATCATGTTGCACACTCTGTGCTCCAGCCTTGGCCCTGGCCATCATCTTTCAGGACCTCCAAACCCCTCCTCACCCAGCTCACTCTCCTGCCCCTTCAGGCTTTGGCTCACCTGTCACTTGCTCAGGGAGCTCTTCCTGACCTCCTTGACAAGGTCCCATCTCTCAGTTACAAGGCCTCCCAGTACCACAGACCTCTCCTTTGTGGTGCATATCAGAATCTCCAACTTTCCATTCATTTCTGTGATTACTCGACTGGCACCTGAGTCCTCTGCTATCCCATAACAGTGGGCAGTACACAGGATGGGTGGATCTGTAGTGTCTTGTAGGGTCGCCAGATTCCCATGGTGTAAATACCACCATCACAACAGATTTCAAGCGACCAACAATTGTGGCTTGCAAAATCCCTGAATAATCACTTTAATAATCAGTTTTCACCAGGTAGTATGAGATGGTTCCAGTGTCCCACCAAGGCAGGCCTTGTGTCTGTCCCCTCAATGACCGAAACAACTTCTGAAAAAAAATCACTGAAGAGCCATAAGTATTTGTTTGGTGAATGAATGAATGAATGAGCAGTGCTGAAGTTTAAATAAGCCTTCGGGGGAGCAATTGCTGCTTCTAGAAGATGAGAGAATTTAAATGCTTGCCCCAAGAAAGAAATAGGGAGGCAGGACATTTCTGTTCTCTGAAGACTTATTTCTATATTTACTTAACAAAGATGTCTATATCAGGCACAAATCCAGGTGCTTTGCGAATGCTAACCCATTCAATCTTCACAGCAGTCAGCAGGCAGATACTATTCGTACCTGCATTCTACAGAGAAGAAAACTGAGGCTCAGAGTACTTGGCCAAGGTGGTGGCACTGGGCTCTGAACCCAGGAAGTGTGACTGCAGAGTCCACGTTCCTAACCACTATGCTATGTTGCATCAGGCCCAGCTCTGGAAATGAGACATGGCCCACATTCCCCTCTGTGATCCAGCCGAAGCACATCCGCCCCATGGACATGGTGTGCGCTCTTCAGGTCACTGAACTCAAACAAAAAAGTACCCAAGTAAAAAAGGTTGTGAAATGATGGGGAAGCTGTGGGTTCTTCTGGATAAAGACAGAGGAAAAAGATTACGTCTTTTTCAAGAGCCATGAAATAATCATGGGGATGGACTTTAAATATTTACTTACTAAATCCTAACAAGAGGAAACTGACCTGGTTAACTTTCACAAAGGGAAATGTGAAAACCTGAGAGGTGAGCTTGGGACCTCAGTATTTGTACAATGTTGTCCACATATGGTCTCGCTTCATCTTTAAGACCATGGTGGGAGATGAGGATAATCAGGCTTATTTTAATAAACCAAGGACACCAAAGCTCAGGGGTGAGGGGAGGGACCCGAGGCTACGGAACTACCCATCAGCGGAATGCAGCCTGGGTCCGCATCCTCCCTGCTGCTTCACTGTTACTTCCCAAGCAGGTCTTGTAGGATCATAGCCGCTCAGAGGAAGTCAATTCCTGCAGCTAATTATGCCAAGCAGCTGTACAAAGTGAAAAAGTAATTAGATTTGAATGAGGTTTACACAGATTCTGGGGTAATAACCTAATATTGCAGTAATAAAGTCCAGGAATGTATCTCTAACCTTTGATGTGGTTGTTCATTTAACAAATGAACTCCTAGGTGCCTATTATGTGCTTGGACCGTCAAGGTTACTGACTGACCATTTTACATGTAGCATTGAGGATCACTGTAAAGAAAGTGGGAAATGGCATTAATTTGAAAGTAAAGCCTGGGACAAACAGATTGTGGGGCAATTCAGAATGTCAGGATCAGCGATTTGATTTTATCTTATAGGAAAAGAAGGATCAATGAAAGATTTCAAGCAAGGGAATGACATCACCACTACCGCCATCATCATCATGATCACAATAAAAATAATAAATACTGTTCTTAGCTCCTCAGGGGCAGAGCCTCGATCTACCCGAGCTCAGTTTATTCTCACCAAAAACGCTCCGCAGAATCTTTGCTCTTGAGTACATGCTGGACAACACGAGAGTGAAGGTTTGGGAGCTGTCAGCATTTAGCTGGATGGCTAAAGGCAGGAGAAAGACCAGCTTTAAGGGGAGACAGAGGAAGACCAGAGAAGCCAGGACAGAAACAGTAGCAGAGGCAGGCAGTGCCAAGGAAACCATGCAGGTGTGAATTTTAAGAAGGAAAGAAGAGAACTATGGCACAGAAGGTCACCTAGCAGTCAGGCAGGATGGGGATGGACACGGAACTGTCAGATCTGCTGACTTAAGAGGGCTCCCGGACTTCAGAGACAGTATTTTCAGAGGAGTGCTGTGGGTGGGCGCCAGATTGCTGTGGGCAGAGGAATGAGGGGGAGGTGAAGACAGGGCAGGCAGCATGTAAACTTACTCTTTCAAGAAATATGATCGTGAGGGGGAGGGGAGGAAGGAAGCCCAAAAGTGGAAGATGATGGCTGGAAGGGTTTTCTGGGGGGATGGAGGTGGGGAGAGACTTGAGCAGTTGTAAGCCAGAATGAAGGAGATGCTGAAGGCAACAAGACAGGGAGGCTATTCCTCAGAGAGCCCCAGGGGGAGCTCCAAGGGATGGGTGGAGAGCTCAGCTGGTGGCTTTAGTAACAGCTCCTGTAGCAGGACTCCTTCTGGGCTGCGAAGACAGAGGTGGATCTGATGGTCTCTGTGGCCCCTTGCAGACCTCATACTCCTCTGCTTTTCCTCTTCCTTCCTCCCATCCTCCTCTGGCTTTTCCTTCCTTCTCTGTTTCCACAAATATTTAGTGAGCACCTACAATGTGCTAGGTTCTGTGGCTGTTATCACAAACAAGACAGTGTACATCATCCTTTCAACTGAGTGGAAAGACAGGTATTAAACAAGAAGATGCACAAATTGTGTGTGTGTGTGTG